TTTTATTAGTTTCGAAAACGTCGGCAAACATTATGAGAAACTGTTATTTGTGTTGTGTTGCGGCGGCGGCGGCGAAGGAGGCGATGGCAAACTCGCCAAATTGAAAACGTAATCAAAAAATTTCTCGATCTTTCTCTTGTGGTCTAGCTAATGCTCTTTTCTATCTCTGTTTCCAACTCTTCTTTGTCTCATCCACTTCATGCGCATTCACACGAAAACTATCAATTTCAATTTTCAACTTACCAATGACAAACTAAACCGAAAATTTTGATGTTGTGGCTAATTCTATTTACAAAGTTTCCACCGAGATGCCAAGCAAAATCAGCCACCTGTTGCGCCAGCCACAAATTTTCAAACTCAAGCGATTGTTTTGTGCAAACACCGAACCGAGACCATGATTGAATCTATTGGGAAAGTTGATGCCAAGAAGCAAAAGCAATTAGCATCTTTCGGTTGCTGTCGCTCACTCGCTAGCTCGCTCACTCACTCGTAATAAAGCGTCAGCGACAAGTGAAAAAAGCCTGATGAAATACTCAGCCAACGTGCATCATTGAATTATAATGCAAATTGTGCGATATCCCACTGACATTTGGACATGCTCGAAAAATGCGACGACGATGAACCGAGCGTGACGATTTCCACGCAGAGACACATCGTGCACCGCATCTTGCAATGAGATTTTTATTTTGCATGAAATCCAGTTATAAAGTTCTTTGCGAGGGAGAGTTTGTTGACCTTGTGAGTTTTTGCGCTGTAACAATATTATTCATGTAACATGAATCATGTTGACGTCATAAAATATTTTGGGCTGAAGAACCAAAGCAGCAAAGATTTATGTGGAAGCTCGTGCGTAAAAGAAGAAGAAACCTTTGAACCCTTTTTGAGAGGAATTGCATGAATTTTCTTCATCTTGTCGCAGATCTTTGTATTAAATGCCCTGAAAAAATTAATGCGTTTGTAAAATTTGCATTAAATGCTTTGAAACTTCGAAGCCAGCCTCAAAATTAAGCGTCGTTCAACTGTCTCAATAATTCATTGAACTCTTCAGAAAGGAGCCGCATCTGCTTGAAAACTGCACATTTTCTCTCTCAATTTCTGTAACGTTTCTCCCGTTTTCATCAATCGCCTCACGATTTTAAGCTGTGTGACAAATTTCTATTCTCACAGAAATTATGCCGTGAATTATGTTTCGTTTAATTACCCCAGCCGCACCGACAGCCAACATTATATCGCAAAACACGTTCGAGCAAATTGCTGCGACGTTGCACATCGATTAAAACAAACAAACTTTCTAAAAAAAAACACTCACACAAATCGACGAATAAAAAAACAAACGCGAAAGAAATTGAATTCATTTTATGCGGTGACTCAAAATGTGGATTTCTTTCGCGAAAATAATTATGAGTGTAAACACGACAAATTACTTTGCGAAGAGCAGGCGAACGAGTGAGCGCACACGCTCAAAACAAAATGCCTGGGCGTGAGTATTGAGTTATTAAAATGTTGACAGCAACCGGAAATTTCTCGTGTGACAATTTTTCGCGTTTTGCACAAGATTAAATTCCATTTATTTTTGATTGAAATCACCGATGTGCCGCACGTTATTTTGAACATATGGCATATTTTGCCGTCAATAAATCATCAAACAGTTGTTTCTAAACGTATCGCAATTTCCTTGACTCTTTTCCACTCGAAATTTTCCTTCCGCGTACGATGTAATCGCAATTAGACATCGTCTCGACCATTTCTTTTTCATTCGTAGTTGATTATGTTTTGTGGAACACGTTAACTCACTATCAACACAATTTTCTTAATCCAATTTGCACAAGAGCACGCATCGCACTCACCGACAAACGAAATCGATTCGCACTAATTGTGAATGGATTTATGTTAAAAAAAAAACACCGCCACAACAAATTAATACTCTGAAGAAAACCAGTGTAAACGCACACCAAACGACGATAATTCATTAAAGTTTCCGCTTTTAAACACACCTGAGAACATAACAACACACCGCGAGTGCGCTCGCGTATGTCATTTTAATGAAATCAATCATCGATCAAATCACGGCGCATACATGAAAACTTCTGACACATCAAATCAGTTGCTGCTAACAGTCTTGCGGATGATAGACAGATGGCAAGCAGGAAATTGTGCACGAGAATTGGTCGATTTTCGATAGAGTGAACTAATTTCACTTGAAATCGAGCTAAATTTCACTCGAAATATCATTTTAAATCATCAATCAATTTTGAAGAAATCCGACACAATTTTAATCAATTTGAAATGAAGACTAGACAATTCTCTTCCTAGCCCATCATTTTACCAACACGACATATTTTCATTTCAAAATTTTCTTTGAATTTTTTTTCAATAATAATTTGGTAATTTAAAAAAACGAATCAATTTCCAGTCGATTTTTGGTGTGTTTTTTTAAGAAACTTGGACACCGAAAAATTGTTATTTTTATTGCAAGAAATATGAAGTTTATTGAATTTTGTTCAAATATTAAAAAAAAAAAATTGAGTTCCACCGACTTTATCAAATGTGTCGTATGCTTTTGCTTTCAATTTATGGAAATCCGATTAACTTCGCGTTTAGAATTCCATAAATTCCACGTGACTGTCGTTCAAATGTTCATCAAAATTCCAACAACTTTCATTAAATTCATTTTATTTGAAATTTATGTGAATTTTTGTGTTGTCCAAAATGGTGTTCTACATTTGCTGAATTAGAAGATAATTTTCGAATTTTATTATTTTGGTCGAAATAAATGGATGACTTTGAATAAAAATGCATCATTATCACGTTATCACATAATCAAACCACTTTCCTTACGTCTTCATCAAAACATTTTGCATTCTTTTTGCATAAAAAATGAGTTCGATAAAACAAAATCTCGTGCACTGCAGTGTGTTTGATTTGTTTTTATTCATGTGATGAATATGCAAAAGCGGAGCAGAAAACGGCGTTTTGTGACAAGTATATAAAAATCGGTCTTGGCCACAAGATCGAAATAAATGTAGAGCAAAAAAGTCAGCCTTTATCAGTTGTTTTCGACCGTTAACAGTCGATTTGTATTAATGTGATTGGTGTGGAAACGGGTCGAATTCAAGAACCATGTCAAAACAGATCGTGATTAATTTGAATTCACAATCGATTTCATTATCATTGGCAGTGAGTTGGCTTGCATTTCTCGTGTGTGTGTGCGCAGCACAGATGCAAGCCAAACCAGAAAAGTTCACTTGTTCTCTCTCTCCGTGTGTTTTGTGATGTTGTCCGTTCATTTTCAGTTAAGTCTCATGACATCAATGTTTTTGTCGGTTCTCTGTCGACGAGAAGTAGCTGCTGATGCTTCTGTTACAGCGGCTGCTGTTGTTGCGGCGGTCGTTCGACCCACTTATCCAAGAGCGCAAATATGTGCCGTGAAGCGCGGCACAGCACTCACACAAACAGAAAGGGAGGTATGAAGCTAAATTAACGGTTTTGCTTTCGAAAATAAAATTCATCATTTGGTTTTCGTCGTGGATTTTTCTCTATCTCGTATTTTATTACCTGTTTTTGGTATTTACAAGTTGTTGTTTTTGCACGCACTTGAAAATTGTGTGTGTGTGTGCGTTTGCCACTTTCGGACGTTTGCGTTCTTGGCCATTTTTGTCTAAGCATCACGAAACGGTAGAAATCGCCAACATTTCTTGAAGCGTAAAATCAAAATTGGTATTCATTTAAAAATCGAAACGAAATTTTTTCTCTCTCGCTCTCTTTCTCTTCGTTTTGATGCACGGCAGCGAAACGCTTTTTCTCTCGTTGATTCTGACGGAATATGCATCAAATTAATGAGAATCTCGTATCCAAAATTAGATTAAAACGAAGGAAGAAAATGCCTTACTCACAACAAAGAAATCGTTTGGAATTTAAAATATACACGAATTTCTCGACGACCATGAACTTTTCTCGCTGGAAATGAAATTGAGGAAGTAATCAATATCGAGAACTGAATCTATTGAGATAATGCGTGAATAACAAAACTTTGACGGCGACTGATGGAAAGGTGCCAACACAGAGTGCATTTTCTCCTCATCTTCTTCTTCATCATCATCATCATTCAACTAAATTAAAATCTTGAAACGGTTCGCTCTGTTGATTATTTATTTTGACTGTGCAAATGAGTTCCGTCGTACCCGACGTTTTTCATCCCAACGCTCGCGCACGTTCCAAACTTTTTTTTTGGGGGCCATAAAACAAAAAGCAATAAATTCATTTCGATTGCGAGCTCAATGAGCATTGTGTTTGTTCCGTGGAAAAAATAACAATGCGAGAAATGAAGTTTTCGACTCATTCGCCGACTGACAATGAAAAACTTTTATTGATGATTCTTCTGCCGGTATTCGGTGGGTTTTTTTTCGCCAGGCTTAATTTTATAATTTAATTGGTGCTCTTGATGCTGAACAGAACTTGCAGCAACCGAGCCAATAAATTATCCGAAATGAAATTTTTCGGACCACTCGAATCTCGCACAATCGAAAATGAATTTGAATTATCATTCCATTTCAATAAATTTCTTGATTGCATCGCATTTTATAACACTCTCACAAAGCCATTCGATGACACAATCAACCGGGTTTTTCTATTCGATATTTGAAAGGCAGTCATTTTACACCATTAGTTTTGTCTCCGTAGATGACTCATCGCTTTTAACGGGAAAATATGCATATTCTCTCGTATTGAAAACGTATTGACATCATTAATGCACATTGAAACTGCACACTTCGTTGATATAACGATATGAATCTCGTCTAATTGAATTGTATTTTGTCTCATTTCAGGTAAATATTAGCATCAACATCTCCACCGATACACTATTACGTTTCCATTAGGATTTTGCGCATTTTGATGAACGACCATTGCATGGGAAATGACGACTAGTTTCATTTTAAATATTCGAATTTTGCATTTGAAAATTGGGATTTCAATTTAATAATACTCAAAAATGTCAATAGAACGATAGAATTCAAAAGAAGATGCAAATTCACTTTGTACACCCAGCAGATTTAAAGGTAAACAATGTTATTTTAGTGCTAATGAGGTGGTTTTCATACGATCTTTATTCTAGAATCAGAAATATATGAATTTCCTCGAATTCAGGTGAAATGTTGGAAAAATTTTACTCTTTTAGTTAAAAAGAATTGATATGAGACATCAATTTGTTAGATTCAACTTGAATTTTGTTCAATTTCAACAGATTAGACTTTGGTGCAGTCGACTTTCGTCAAAGTTGACTCGAACTTCGTTATTAATTGCTACATTTTCGAGTTATCTTTTCTTCACCCAGAAATTTAAACTAAGTTGCGACTCTATCTCTCTTCGCTAAAAGTTTTTTTTATTAGTTTTGACCCAATTTCAACATAAACTGATCTGAATTAATTTCAAATTTGCTAAAATCTTCTGTTTATTTATCAAAACCCGCTCCGTTGACTAAATCATTTGTTCAAAAATTAATTTTTGTTGCATTCCCTCCGAATTGCACTTTTAGAATAAGCTAAACTTTTCATTCCTTGTGCGAATATTTTATCTTTTATTAGTTGTCATCTCTCAAGCTAATGAAAACGACTTAAAATGAGATTCTAACTTGTGATTTGGTTTTGGTCCGAATACTCTACACATTTGACCGCTTTGAATCGATCCAGTTCGAGTAAAGAGCTGGGTACGTGCAGTATCCAGAGTTCAAAATGCGTAAATGGATTTTAAATGGTCGTATTTGTGTTGTTTGCTTAAATATGCAATCAAAAGCGATAGCTATCGGAAGCATATTGTTTAAAATGGGAAATTCTTTCAAATATTAAATAGAATGTCACAGCCAAATAGCAATTGAATGTGGTCTTTGCTGGAAAGTTCTGTGTGTATTTTGAACAAAGAGCCACTTGCTTTCTCCGGGTTTGAATCTCTATCGTCGAATTGATTGGAAATTTTCGCAAACATTGAAAGCGCTTTGAGAGCTTTTGAGTATTTGCCATACGTATCAAAACCATTTGATTTTGTGTGCAGCAAAATTATTGTTGCGGCCCTAATTGCAAATGCCAACCACAGTCGCTTGAGAAACAGAAAATTATTATTTCGGGTTTTGACAGGCGTTTTTTTGCTCATGAGGAACGAAAGCGTAACGAATACATGTGACAATCGACAAATATTGACTCTCGGCACATAAATTTGTACAAATACTCCGGCTTTTCCCATTGATTCCATGTGTTCCTTTCGGATTTTCCCACTGAAATAACACATTTCAAACTGCACCAAAGCTTAACCGTCGCAAAAACTAGAAAGCAAAAAGTGCGTTCGAAAATCCTGGCCAAATATATTTAATCTATCATGGTTTCATGTACGTTGAGCGTAATTTGAGACATGAACTGAATTTCACAGACATGATTTAATTTAAGACATTTGGATAAATCCATTACGCACATACACGATGCAGTTAACAAATGCACCGACATTAATGCATACAAAATTCAAAGCGAATGTTGAAAATTAGCGATGCAATCTGAGATTTCGGTCGTCATTTATGCGCACCGGCACATTTTTCACTGAATTATATATTACATCAAATTTAATTAATGCAAGCGTGCAAATGCATCGAAAATTAAGACTTAATTGAATTTATTCATGAAAAGTTTCAAGCGAAATATCTGAGAATATTAGCAAATGTTTAATGAATTTGCCTTGTGTAAAATAATCCATTTACACACGGAAATGCATTCGACAGCCTCCGCTGCCGTGTTTGCATTTTCGGGTTGCTAAAAGACAGCGCGAGAGCGAGAAAACTTGATTCGGTTCGGTTCGGTTCGAAAGTGCATTTGACAGCACTTTGTCGTGTGTTGTAATTGTTTCGTTCGTCTAAGAAATTGTGTTTGTGTGCGTAATTAATTTTGCATCGGCGAACGAACGGTGATGTCATCAATGTTTCAAGGTAAACTCTGAAGAGTGTGCTAAAACCTAAATGTATCTTGAGCAAAATCTTGACTTGTGCACGTGAAGCAAGACACAAAGTTGGAAAGTGGTGAGTGGAATGAGTGAACGAACGAAACTGAGAGAGAATGGAGTGAAACTGGAGAAAAGACGTCATATGAAAGGCAATACTCGAATATGTATTCTGTCGATCAAATTTGAGGCAGCCAACGTCAATTACAGCCCAAATGTGTGCCTCTCTGTCGTATTCTGATTGGCAGAGCCGGAAAATGAGCAGTACATACATGATAATTGAATGTATCATGTTTTGTTAATAAATAATCAGTCGTAAAGATGTGTGCTGTTGCTGCATCGCATGCGATGATAGCTGCAAGGTAAATGCAACACCATACATATGGCAAACGATGGTTCAATTTTATCAACAAGTGCCTCTCTACTTCACAAATACTCCACCATCATCTTGATATATATAACGCACATATTTCGACGAGAATACAACAATATTTGAATTTCCAATGCAACGTTCGTGAAATGTTCTGCAGTGTCGTCGTCGTCGCCACAGTCGCCACCGGCAATGGTCTTACCTACTGATACACATTTCCCTTATGCTGAATACACTATAAACGAGTTCCTCCGTTTCTCTTTGCGCTTGTCGTAGCCCTTGTCAAACACATACTCGATGCGGTCGGTCGCCTGCTCATAATCGATAAAACTATCTTAATCAATCGACCGAAATCTATCACGAAGTAAGACGCTTGGCCCTTCACTAAACAGCTTCAAGGTTTGACTTTCATTACGCTGAAAGCATTCCATTTAAGCAACAAATGAAAGAAACACATTCCAAGAACAATTGGCAACATTTCACATGCCAGCAAAACATTGGGCGTGCTGCGTTGAATTAATTTCCGTTCACTGAGCTGATAAACTGCATGTAACAACTTAACTATGTCAACAATCGACGTATTCATTTGATTAATTAAAGATCATTAATTGAATTTAATGGCAAAATTGAAAGTTTCAACGAAGGAGGCATGTGTTTTGGAATGTCTGAAATTTGATGATTCAGTGCCGGATATGTTCAGTGTATGATATCTTTGAGCACCCAACGTCGTATGCATGAATTCCATTTCAAATCAATCAATCGTCCTAGCAAAATGCATTTTTATTGTCCATTTAGACTATTGAAACTATTGAAACGACTCTATTGTTATCGAACTTGCATCTCATCAAGTTAATTTTCGTATCCACTTTTCTTTTATGCGATGAAATTAGGTGTTTTGAAATCGTATGGCGGCTGTTGAACGTCAAAGTCATTTGGGGCGACGCGAGCGCCCTCAATTTCAAAGGGCACATCAATGTAATTTAACATTTCAAATCGGAACTACACAGCGCGACAATTCGAAATATAGGAAAATATAGTGTCAACAGCCGCACCATGTTTGAAATACTCGCAATTTCAAATCTGGAATACTCCCTACCACGTCTTTCAATTTTGCAAATAATTCATATTTTGTTTTGTTGCAAAGTGGAAAATCGGTTTTACAGTCTTTTGAGTCCCGAAAATTTGGTTGGCTAATCTCTAACATTTTCCGCTATGGTACTACTTTTAAAGCTAAGTACATAGTTCTTCGTGAAATGAAAAAAATTTCTCCGGTGAAATTGTCACAGGTGATATTTGTATGTATTCATCTAAGGGTTAATAAAATACACTTTCCTTTTTTCATTATAAATGCACAAACATTCCTTTTTTCATTATAAATGTTTTATTATTTGGACATGAACAAATTAATAAATTCCAATCGTCATCAATGATTGTTTCTAACCCAAAATATATGAAAATAAAATTAAAGAATTTTAATCAATATGACACAAGACGTAGATATACGTGAAATAAGTGTTTTTATTTTACAAACATTCCGCAAACAGTTCTTCGAACAGAACAATTTTTTCGTTGTTTTGCTTCTCGTTTCAAATCAGTTACCGTTTGATTATCAAGATAACTCATGCAGATTTCAAACTGTTCGAGAGATTTCAACATTTTTAAACCTTGCTTTTCGGAATGTATAACTGCGTCATTTCATTACATAGAGAGAGATCCACATCTCTCAGTTGGTCCATTTGAGTTAAATCGATCGAGCTCAAGCCTGGATTGGATCCTAAGTACAATCTATCCAATCTAAGTACAATCTGTCGAATCTAAAATCAGGAAATATTTTAGCAAATTTTTCAATGGAATAAAATACAACTGAAAACAACAATGTAAGCAAAAAACAAAAACAAAGGAGACAAACACAAAATGATTAAAAACTGAGTTTTCAAACCAACATCAGCTATTCAAATGTGACAAAAAAGTTGACCCGATGCATCGAAGCATCCTTCTCTACAAAGAATGCTTCTTAAGGCGTTAGGCTGTCATAAATCCTTTTGTGTCTGGCATTGAATGGTCTCAATTTTGCCAGAGATCTTCATCGTGTATCGATTCAAAGTGAATGCATAGCGATTGAACGTGAGCATTCTCACAACAGAAGTAAACAGTGCGCGATAGAAATAAGTAAAAAGTGAGGAAAATCCGGTCAAAGCGAATTTGCGATTTCTCTCTTGTGCAAACGATTTAATTTAATATAGCTGCAGGGTGCACACGCACAGTGCACACTGCACTGAGAAAGCAGCAGCAGCAACTTCCGTAAAGAATCATTTGCAATAATTTATGGAATTTCCGCGTAAAATTGAGTGATGTGAGGGGAAGTGCACTTCATTTGCATAAATTGTTTGTACTACATCGAGGAGTAAGCAAGCGAACGAGTGAGCAAGCAGTCTTCAATCAAAACCGCTCAAGATTTAATTTGTATTTTTTTTTTCTCTGCTCAATCTTCCGCTTTTCATTCTAAGATCTCATCATCTTCGTCGTGCACACTTTCCAAATCAATTTTCTAGTTCAAAGGAAATGGCTCCGGCGACAGTTTCTATGCGTAGCGACATCGACGGTGAAGAAGAGGAAAATTGAGTGCAATTAAAATAAATGACCGTTTGTTAGTGTGCTTAATGCCCGTCACCCGAGATCGAGCGCGGCTAATTGCATTCATATGCGTAATGG